ATCTTGATTTCCATCATTAGTTTTCTTAGTGGAAGACAAAATATTTGGTGCTGACTGTTTATCGTATTCAGTTTTAATCTTGATGGTTACTCTCCAGATGTCTATTACATATTTTGCGATAAATGAAATCTCTTTTTCTTTATATGATTTTGTAATCGCTGTTACTATTTAGGTTATAGTTAAGTAATGTTGTATTTAAATTAAACGATAATATATCGGTGCAAATCTGCTCACTTTTTGATTCGTTAATTCTTCAAACTATTTGTGGAAAACTTGGGGTCACCTATGTACTATAAAGGTCATTATTGAAGATAGTTTACTTCGTAGTTAGGGATTTCAGGACATGGCATTACCTAACGATCGTGTAAACCAACACTTTATGGCATTGCACTACTGAAGTTCTAATTAAGGATTTCACTGTTATCTAGAAATACGTGTTTGGGATGCATAGTGTATTTTATAAGGGCTGATCAGATTGCAATTTCTGTTTTGAATGTTACAATGAATCGTAAGAAGTCTGAGTTTTGCTCATATAAGGAAACGTATCTTTGCAAAGTAGTGGACAAACTATTGTACTGTACTTGTTTCATTACCTTGATGGGGACAATTGTTTCTTCATGACCGCAACTTGTGGGTAATGTTGTTTTTAAAGACAAAACCTAACAGTTGCAATAAATAATAGTTGAATTAGAATTAGTCAGTCACATGCGACGTACAACATAGCACATGTGTACATCCGTCCAAGTTATCATACACTCTTGGAACAGTGAGACGGAAGTGTTAGCGAAGATTTTAGAGTAGTAGGGATAGTAACAGTGAGATTTGACCCTAAATGTCCTGTTACGGTTGAGTGTGAGGATAGTCCACTCTCCCTCTCGAAATGCTCTCACATGGCCACGCGTATACCACCCACTACCAGGGAAGTCCTACTCACCGCCTTCTCACGGTGGGTGTGTTGTTCACGAAATCGAAAGAACGAAAAGAGAATGTCCGGTGCTTTGACTGGCTGGTGGACATGGAGGGTTCACCTAGAGGAGTTGAAAACCCTTGTCATCCAAGGTATTTAACGATTGACTATGGTAATCACACGAACCCCAGTCAGGTAGCGTGCGCCTGCCTACATGTCTCAGTCCAACAGGCAGCTAAATTCAAGTAGCTTTGTTTGGTTGACTGATGCTCGTATTTGGGGACGGTGATTGAATTTGAAAGCAAACTCCGTACCACTAAAAAATCTATAACAGAAACAAATATTGCGCCCTGATAGTTGTGCCACGCTTCCATGTATGCCTCTTCTCCAAAAGGGCCTACTGGTCTCATTAACTATGTTTGACTGGAAGGGGCATTACGAAAGATAGGGAGGATATGGCACAATCATCAGCTTTTCGACATTGTTACACTCTACATCAACTTAATAAAGATGGACGAAGTGAAACTTTAGGGCAAACAAATATCACTAATTTGTAGTAAAGAACTAATAGAAAACAGGAGTAAAACAGGTGGTAAAGGCATGATTTGTATAAGAAAAAGGAAAAGACGGACAGATTTCTAATAGTATCGTTCAGAAATTCCAACTGAGTATCTGGCTAGTATGCTAGTTGTAGCATTTGTAATTCTGAGTGAACGGCTGAACTCGTCATAGTGATTAAAACAGTTGAGCGTCAATCCGTTTATATTTATCGTGGAAGGCTTTCTACGTCGGTGTTGAACGTGGTCTGGAATTAGGTTCAAAAATTGAGCTTGGGTTATACCAGCATGTGTCACTTGTGGCTCAGTATAGATATATTTGCCTGTCAATCAGGGAGTGAGTATTCTGTCTAGCAACCTAGGCTTTATTACTATGTGGTTGTCAGATATGATCCTTGGAAATAGAATACGTGCGTAAGCCGCAGGGTTTGATCATAGGTTTTTTCAAAGAATAGCTCGGGTATGATGGAACAGCTGGCGGAAAAATCCCAAAGTAGTAGTAGACACTTATGAGAAGTCGGTTAGTGAGGCAGTGGAAAAGCACAAACTGAGGTGTATGGGAAATGTGTAACGCATGCCTGGGTCCCGCCGACCTCGAGACTCAATGTTGGCCGGAGTAAGGACAGGTTGGAATAGAGTTAGGGGCGGCTTAATGAAGACATGAGATCAGTGCATGAAGCCACTGACTATTAGACTGAATAATAATGGTGTTTGGAATCCGAGAGATGACCATGATCAATGCTTGAAAACACTGAGGAACATGTCTCAGAATCGGTTGCAACGTGGCCGATTCATTTAGTCCCCCCCCAAGATCTGAGCTTCAATATTATTTTATTGTATTTATTCTTCAAATACATTCCGTCTTTTAAAACAGTATTTCCCAGTGTTTAATCATTTTATCCAACCTGATACTACTATTATTTCGAATTATTCGCCATCCTTTATGTTAATTTCTCACTGTTGTAATTTCCTATGAGTTGTTTTGATGCATGCTTGTGCCAGGCTTTGTATTAGTTATAACTAACTTCATAACTGACCTGGAAACTGACGTTTCCGATTCCTAGTGATATGAATACATATCACTTATGGAAAGAAAATATAGATCTAGATGTTACTGCGAATGATTTCAACAAGTCCTCACGTTTTTGTTATCCAATAAGTTCTGAGTAAATAGCCCATACTTTATGCGGCAACTCTGACCGATATTTATTTATCTAGTTATTTATTACATTACATTACATAAGGTAGTTGTCGCGGAATTAAAAGATTCATTTTAAATGATTTCAATATGTCAGTTACTTAAGGCTATTATCAGGTTCACCATATTGCTATGTTTGATGGTATGGGATTAGGTTGGGAGAAAGCTAGTGACGGATAAACCAAAACCTAACATTCGTCCATGAGATGATTGATTGTTGAACTGAGCCCGTTTCATAAGTCCAGACTACTTGGTTAGGGTCCGTGCGATTCTCGTTACCAGTGATAGATGGTATAAAACTTTGGTTAGAACCAGCCACAATGACGCCGATGCACTTATTGTATTGTATTTACTTTTCCTTTAGCGAGTTTGTTTTTCTTAAGTCATTATGTTCGAACCTAGTCTTTTCTGTTACCGCTGATACTGCTACTATTCTGATATTTGTCTTGATAATTTCATCTCACTGTACTGATGTTGTATGAAAACTTGATGTGCGACATGTGTCAGTTTACAAGTTACTACTCACTGAGTGTCTATTGCAAAACGTAAAATGTCTAATATGGAGTTGAAAATACGATATTAAAAGATGTGGGATATTTTTATTCCTGACTGCAGACACCTGAATAATTTGTTTTGCTTCTGCTTTGTGTTGCTATGCATTATCACTTCACTTAAACTATCTTCTCACTTTTATCACGAGTTTGTTGGATATTGGTGACGTGGTATAAGTTGCTAGTGAAATTTAGTATGATTATAAGAGATTGAGACATTTAGCACCTTAAGTCTAAATATCTGGAAAGTATTCTGTTGAATAATTCTATTTGCTGGGATAAAAACCAAATGTTACTTGATCATATATACCGTTTTGTGTACTAGTTTTTAGGTAACGCCTTTTTATCGGAGACGTACAACCAATTAAGGCTTTCCACACCTTTAAATATAGATTAGGATTTGGGTTTGTGAACCAGGAGTCATGTACCCAAAATACTAGTCTACGACTTGAAATATGCTTGCTTTTTATAGATTTCCATTCTGATTGCATAGACTTGGTACAGTTGATCACATGTTCTCAGTTTAACTGTTTAACATTCATCTTCAGGAAAGAATATAATTGGACATCAGAATACGGATTAATGATCCGTATTAATCTCTATCGATCCAAATTTTTGGTTAAATTATGCTAATTTAACTAGATTTATGGAATGCAATTTAAGAACATTTTTTGTTCAAATTGGAATATTTTCTATCCTATGAAAATGCTTGGCATAAATCAAAATATCATGTTCTATGGTGATGAGGCTAGTTTATCCTTGCAAAATAGAGATTTGTCACTAAGGATTTTTAAAGCTTAGTAAGATAACCTCTTTGAACATTAAGTACAACGAACTAGGTATCCGGATATCTGAGTGAGTAAGATAGTCCTGTCAAAATATGTTTTATGTAGGTATCTATCAGAAGTGTACTGAAGGATAAAATTTGAGGTACACCATAAAGTTAAGGATTCTCTGTCTTGTTACTTAATCATTAGCAGTGATTTAACATGTGTGCAGTTGATTAATGCAGAAATCGGTCCGAGTTTTCCCAAGTTACTTTTATGATTCTTCTGATGACTTTTCTTAGTCACGATTACTTCAAACTTTATAAACTTGATTAACTATTAGATATTTACTACTCGCCTATCACGTTTTGATTAAGATATATATGAAGCGAGTCGCACCAGTGCGATTTATTGTATGATATAGTCAATGTAAAGTACAGTTAATGAGTCACTTTTATTGTGCTCGGTGGAACAGTTGCTATTATGCTTCATTATTTGAAATTTTTAATGCTTTTTTATTTTAATTATTTTGAGATATTTAGTATACTTTTCTTACTAAAAATAGTATTTATTCTACTAAACACTTATTTTGAATGACATTTTTTGGCTCAAATATGTTTTCAAAATTATAAGCATCATCATATAAATAATGTATTTAGTTATTCAGGTATACTCAGACAGATACGAATTGTAATGTTCAAGTTACTTGTACCTGAAATGCATAAGGTTTACACAGGCACAGGTGTTGGTAATTGGTTTCTTATTTATCTTGGGTTACTTTATTATACTTTTACCAAGAAATTAATATCATTTCTTCAATCTTTTTCGTTTAAAAAATATGTAGGTTCACCTTTCGAAAATGTGTGATGTTATGCCCACTATATCGGAGGATGGTAATTCAAGTCAAGGAGATCGAGACTCACAAGCAAGTGGAGAGGGAACTAATGTTGAAGATATGCTATTGAGTATATTGGATGAACGTGATAGACTAATGGAAAGTTTACATGATGCACAAGATCAATGGTATTTACACAGAATAGACTTGCGGAAGCTGAACGAGAAAGAGATGTTTTAAATAGACAGTTATCTGAAAAACTTCCTGAAGTGAGTAAAATTTCCAGCTTCGTTATTTTTTTCAACGAATATTATTTAAAAATTTGTAAATACTATTACTACTTCTACTCTAGCATGTCCCTGTCCTGATGTGGTATGACAACGTGAACCAATGCACATATGAACTAGGTTCCATACTATGTAGACTGACTAGCTAGCTGAGATCTCAGTTATTGGATCGATCTCCCTGGCTTACAACTAGAATTTCGAGAGGTAATTTCAGGAGTTCTAGTATAAAGTTGGGACTATTTGAGTTCAGCCTTGTCAGGTATGAGGCATTTAAAGTGGTTACACAATGTCATGAATTGATTGAGTTTTCGAAAAGTAAACTATTTGATCTCAACTCAATAGTCTAGAGGTTAGACGCATTGCACTAAACATAAAGGCCTTAGGTTCGACCTCTGGCTCGATTGCAGATGGACATTGTTAATCAGTCTTATAATAAGATGAATCAACTGTCCAACATTGTCTAGTCTTCGTTAAGTGTCTAAAGTCATTACGTGTTATAAATTATGAAACCAAAATTTCGTTTATTTATAGATCTTGATTAATTTTTATTCTGTTTACTTTGATGTATACGATTGATTAGTATCAGTAATTTATTCGGTAACTTAGCAATATTTCATTTGATCGATAATAAACCAAAAAGAAAACCGGAAAACTATTACAAATAAATAAGTAAACCTACAAGTATATATTACACAATAAATTTTATTTTTTTAATCATTGATTAGTGGCAGCTATTCAGTACACTTGAAAATGACCTATTCAAGCATATATATATATATATATATATATATATATATATATATATATATTGATGAAGCCAGTAGTTTTACATTCCTTGTTTCTTTCATCAGTCTGGTATTTTTCTATGCACACCGGCACATTCTTAAATAGTAAGTGAAAAAAAACGATTGTGAACTTATTCTATATAAGATACATTCTCACATCTTTTAGCGTTTATTAACTTATTGATTTGTGACCATTGGATTTATAAACTATATATATATATATATATATATATATATATATATATATATATATATATATATATATATATATATATATATATATATATATATATATATATATATATATATAATTCACGTTTGCTTGTGTTTACTACGGTATAAATATGTGCGTATAACGCGCTTATACCAAAATAAGTCAGTGTATATATGTGCACAAACACACGCGTGCATACGCATCTTTTCTCATTCTTCGATTGTGTACAAAGTCTCTTGTCCTTACAGTGCTTTTCAGAAATAATCGAAACTTCGTAGAATCATTAGTATATTTCTCTTAAGCTATAAAATGACTTTATCCTATTATGATAATTTCAATGAGTTGCTAGTGTTTACTGGTCTTCAAATTTTATTTCTTACACAATACACTTCAATCTTAAAATTAGCAACCTTGATTAGTATATATATATATATATATCATAGTTTTGTCAAAATTGTTGGAATAAATCAAAATTAGTTTTCAGAATCGTAAGATTATAGTGTAGTACAAGCATTATTTATTATTTACTTGAACACAAACGTTTGTACAAGGAGGGCACCAAATACTTATGCACCACTTAATAACAATGGGGCCAGTAGTAGTTATCATTGATTTGTGTGAGGACTGTGATATTATCCATGAGCCCAAATCGAAGCAGGTGGTTGTCTTAGGGGGCCACACCTAGAGCCTTTGACATGAAGTTCTAATCCACAAGGCAGTGGAGCAACGCTAGGAGATGCAGTCCCATGGTAGCCGGTGACCAACTATATGTTCATGCTCCATTTGTCCCCTCTGGAAACTGAAGCCCATGTGCACCATTGGTTTGAAATCAAGGTTTTTCGACTCCTCTAGGTGAACCCTCCATGTCCACCAGCCAGTCAAAGCACCGGACATTCTCTTTTCGTTCTTTCGATTTCGTAAACAACACACCCACCGTGAGAAGGCGGTGAGTAGGACTTCCCTGGTAGTGGGTGGTATACGCGTGGCCATGTGAGAGCATTTCGAGAGGGAGAGTGGACTCTCTTCACCCTCAACTGTAACAGGGCATTTGGAGGCAAACAACTGTGAAGTAATTCGCTTTGAAAGATGACTTGAACATATATCATCCATTTACTGAATGGATTGTCTTTGAGGCATACATATTGGTTTTGTGTTGTAATATCTATTGATAATATACAATTATTTAAATTGGAGTAGTTGAAATGAAATTTTAAGTTGGAACCTACTAGTTTTATATCATGCGTTTTCACCATCTAAGATGTACCAATCTACGAATAATTTGAGACTTTTTCAGCTTGTGATAAATCTGGTACTTTAATTCTTTCATTGCACCTAACAGCTAAAGTTATCTGGTCAACAACATAATATTCAACTATTTAGTCAGAAGTCAATAATTTGATTTGATTATTTTTGGTGTTTTACTGTTGAAATGTACGGGACTAACTGTTATTTTTAAGGTATCAAATATTTTGACCAGTTGACTTCTAACATAATTTATTTTGATTATTTGATTTGATTTAATGAAGTTCATTAAGTAGCTGCACGTGGTGTTCGAAATTGATTTGGATTTTTACGGGTGGCAGAATATAAGAGAGTAAAACAAACAGTTGGTTGATTACGGGTTAGTGACCAATCAGTTGTAAATATGTGAATCCTACAAGAGGTTATTCGGTGCTGCTTTGAATAGCTCAGTGATAACGTCCCAAATTGTAAAGCTCAGTGACCCGAGACTAAATCCGCGAAGGAGCACCAAGTCTCTCAAGGTTAAAAGTAGATCTTGTTGGTAGGTGATAAATAGTATGCAGCATATGTTCAGGGCTTCCCGTTGACTGCCTCCAACTACTTAACATTTTGCCTAAAATTTGTTAAATCATAGAGGTAGTCGACTGTGATGCCAAAATGACTGTTGCCAATCCATATGCGTAAATATACATTGACATATGTCATTTGTCAACGTGAATAATATCTAATAACTGATTAAGATTAATCTGATACTTTGCGGTAGGTGCCCTTTATTCGAAATTAAAAATGCTAATGAACCTGTAAATCTTCCTACAAGTCCAATAAACTTCTCTGCTACAGTTGTGTATTGGACCGTTAATTCGCTGACTGATCACCAGGTACTTAAGAAACTAAATTATGATCTAAGCAAAACAATAGGCTACTATGTTTTCTTTAGCAAAAGTGGACAATACTATATGGTATTCAGGATTGGAATGAGTTGGAATAAGCTTATATATTGATATATATGATATATTGATATATATCAATATATAAGCTTATTCCAACTCATGGAAAAGTGCTTTTCAAAGTCACTCGACTCATAAGAGTTGTATTATAAATTAACTAAAGGGAACAATCGAATTGTCCACCAAGCTAAAGGTCAACACTGTCATTAACGTTACATAATTCACTTAACATACATATCGTATATTAGTGATAAATACAGTTTATTCGACAATAGTGGTTCCTATTTAGTTTGTCTTCTTCCTTAGTCTGGTTAGGTTGATTAGATATAAGGGGATGCATTGATAACCAAGCCAGGGGGCTAGATGGTTACCACTGCATAAGCCACTGGAATACGTTTTTTGGTGTTGGAGTAGGTTGGAAGAAAGCTAGGGGCGGCCAAACCAAAACATGGCACAGATCCACGAAGTCATTGACATGTGGACTGAGCCATGTTGGTAGGTGTAGACTACCTGGTCGCGGATCGCGAGACGATAGCAACCGATGGTTAGAGCCTTTGAATGACATGGCTCAAAATCGTTTGCAATGGCCCAGTTGCATCCACTCTTTGTGTTCTCCCAAATTCTATTATGAATTCTTGATATCCTTGTTTTCTCTTTCCAACTTTATTTCACTGGATTATACTTCTTGAATGACATCTTCAAACCGTGATTTTACCGATTACTGCTTATACTCTTACTACCTCTATCACTACGGGATTTGAATGGACAACTGCATCTCTGTGCTAATGTGGTACGGCAGCTGGAACTGATGTACGTACGTACGAAGTTCTAGGTTGTTACTGACTGACTGAATTGTGGTAATAAACAAGTCCTCTAAAGCGATTATCTGTCGGTGCTGATAATAATGCTACTGTTACTATAATAAATTGGTCAGTAACTATTGACAAATTGCAAAATGTCAGGATACATCTTTACATAACTAAAGGATTTTTTGAAATTTATTCATATTCACTTTTTTGCGCAAATTAATCTGTTTTTAAGATCATGATTTAGTTGTGTTTTGCTTTTTTGTTTTTTATTTATTTGTTTTATTGTAATACATCCTTGGTGTTACACAAGCGTATATATATATATATATATATATATATATATATATATATATATATATATATATATATATATATATATATATTCCTCTTTCCCATCTGTTTATCATTTAACATGACAGTTTTTGGAAATCTAAACAAATATCTTCTTGCTTTTTACCCAGTTCTTCTTCCCTCTATTATAGCCTCGTTTCGTTTATTTTCCGAAGTCTTGTTTCTCTCTCCCGGTATAACAATTTGTCTAAGAAATATATCTTTATATATCATGTTTTTTAATCTTTTGCGTACATGATATATCTTAGTTCGCATCTATCCTATATAGTACTAAAAAATTACAATAACAGTTTATTTGAGATCCAAGTTATTCGACTTTTTTCTTTGTTTTTCCTCTCTTAAATCCGGCATATTTGAGAACTATCTTCAAAGATATATATGTGGGGTGAAGGGTAATAAACATAATTTTTCTCTGACCTTTACTTTGATTGTATATTGTAAACTAAAGAAAACAATAGGACTCGTTACTTTGCTTAAATAATGCGTATTGATGTTGATTCTGTTTTTGTGTTAAACGAATACAAAATGTAACTCATGGAGTTCTAGTGATAACTAGGTTCCGGTAGAGTTTAACCACGTCGGGTATGTTACAGTTTTCCACACAGGCAATGGATGAAGTTTACTCAGTATCATG